TGCGGGTCCGCGTCCAGCCCCTGCGCAAGGACGAGCAGAACAAGACCTACGTCCTCTGCACCCAGAGCCGACCCGGCCAGCCCTGGTTGCCCCATCAAGGCTCCGACGGCCATATCGTGGTGCTGGAGGAGAAGAAGTCGCTGTTGCCCCTTTGGCTGCAGGTGATCCTCATCGCCGGGCTGCTGGTGCTGTCGGGGATGTTCAGCGGGCTCAACCTGGGCCTCATGGCGCTGGATCCCATGGAGCTGCGCATCGTGCAGAACTGCGGCACCGATAAGGAGAAGCGTTACGCCCGTAAGATCGAGCCCATCCGCCGTAAGGGGAACTATTTGCTCTGTTCCCTGCTGCTGGGTAACGTGCTGGTTAACACCACCCTCACCATCCTCCTCGATGACCTCATCGGCTCCGGCATCGGCGCCATCGTCGCTTCCACCATCGGCATCGTCATCTTCGGGGAGATCGTGCCCCAGGCGCTCTGCTCCCGCCACGGCTTGGCCGTGGGTGCCAACACCATCATGGTCACCAAGTTCTTCATGCTGGTGACGTTGCCCCTCTCCTACCCCATCAGCAAGCTCCTGGACTGCATCCTGGGCCAGGAGATCGGCACCGTCTACAACCGGGAGAAGCTGGTGGAGATGTTGAAGGTGACGGAACCCTACAACGACCTGGTGCGGGAGGAGCTCAACATGATCCAGGGAGCCCTGGAGCTCCGCACCAAGACGGTGGAGGACGTGATGACCCCGCTGCAGAACTGCTTCATGATCAACAGTGACGCCATCCTGGACTTCAACACCATGTCGGAGATCATGGAGAGCGGCTACACGCGCATCCCCGTCTTCGAGGACGAGCGTTCCAACATCATGGACATCCTCTACGTCAAGGACTTGGCTTTCGTCGACCCCGACGACTGCACCCCGCTCAAAACCATCACCAAATTCTACAACCACCCCGTCCACGTTGTCTTCCACGACACCAAGCTGGATGCCATGCTGGAGGAGTTCAAAAAGGGTGAGGGGGTCAGGGGGGTGCCACTGCTTCCCCGGGGTGCTACTTTCTTCCCCTCGGAGAAGGTCAGTGGGTGCCGGAAACAAAACTCCAGGGAGTTTTGCCCTCCAGGGCTGGAGCTGCCCATGCTGGGGCTGCCTGGGGTCCCCACGGTTTGGGCGGTCGCG